CCTTTTGTAGATGTCTGACAGCCTGCTCCCCTCCTTCATCAAGAACTCAATGACAGCACATTGCTTCTGCTTGGAGTCCATTATTTACCTGCATAGAAGAAGTAGAGTTACTATACAGGAAGATTTACTTCACCAACATGTGAAATTTGAATGATCTATACAAGTTAACCCCTTAGTGACTGGGGATAAAACAAATGTTAATGGCTGAACATAATTTTGCAACTTTGACATGTTAGTAAAATGTATATATCATCACTTTGTGCATCCTGATTTTTTTTTTCATTATCAAAGGAAAACTGGTCCAAAATAGTAAAAAAAAAAAAAAAAATTTTTTTAAATTTAGCTGTATATTTCTTCGCTACTGCCATAACCATACCACCAAAGAACAACCCAAAATAAATTCTCCTACTCCTGACGATTGCAGTGATACCACATGTTTGTATGTAGTAAGGCTTAGAAACAATAGTGTGCATTTTGCTTTTTGCTTTTCTTGTTTTTTTTTTATCCTGCCTAAAACAAACTGAACTAATACTAATTTAAAAATGTAATAAAAAAAATAATCCTGTCCATAATATACTGACCATGACCTTTGACCCTGACCATTGACCTTTACTTGACCCTAACACTAACCCTGGCACTGACCTAGATCTCTCCTTGATCTAGCTATTTTTATTTCGTTTTTTTAAATGTAATTTTCTTTTCACTTACCGTATTTTTTGCTCCATAAGACGCACCTGACCATAAGACGCACCTAGGTTTTAGAGGCAGAAAACAGGAAAAAAAAATTCTGAACTAATGGACTGCAGACACAGTACAGGAGATGACCAGAGACTGCGGACAGCACAGGGATGACCAGAGACTGCGGACAGTACATGATGACTGCTGACCTTTGGGGAGGTGGGGAGCGGGTACCTGAATTTGACAGATACCCGCTCTTACTTCCGCAGAGTTTTTGTTTGATCTTACCTGTTCCTCGATCCAGCCGCGCGCTGTCTTCCCGGCTTCTGTAATGGCACTCGGCATGACAGCCGGGTGCCCAGTGCGCATAGGTTTTAGAGGCAGAAAATAGGAAAAAAAAAAATTCTGAACTAATGGACTGCAGACACAGTACAGGAGATGACCAGAGACTGCGAGAAGCACTTGCTCTTTGTGATTGGTCCGGCGGCTTCTGGGATCTGTCGTGTCCCAGGTACCGCCTTACCATTCACAAAAAGCACCGCTTCCTGCGCATGCGCACTTGGCACCCGGCTGTCATGCCCAGTGCCCACACTACAGAAGCCGGAAGACAGGGCGCCGCTGGATAGAGGAACAGGTAAGATCAAAGAACAAAGAAGTAAGAGCGGGTACCTGTCAAATTCAGGTACCCGCTCCCCACCCCCAAAGGTCAGCAGTCATCTCCATAAGGTCCTGCTGCAGAGCTGAGCGGCCGGCCCGGTATTCTGACACGGCGGCGGTGGAAATACCGGACCGGCCGCTCCATATTCACTCCATAAGACGCACTGACATTTCCCCCCCTTTTTTGGGGGGAAAAAAGTGCGTCTTATGGGGGCGAAAAATACGGTACTTGTTTACATACATTTGTATATCTCCCTCCATTCCTAGGGAATATAAACACAGGAGTGGGCAGCACAGTGACTGATCACTGTGATAGCCAAGCAGAGACTATCACAACAATCAGGTGACCTGGAACTGGGAGTCCTGGGTCTCGATTGTTAGTATGGGACCCAGGGCTCTTGCTGAGAGCCTGCTCTCTGTGCTGGGATTATTATTATTAATATTATACAGGATTTATATAGCGCCAACCGTTTGCTCAGCGCTTTACATTATAATGGGAGACCGTACACGAGACAGTACAGTAACAATACGATTCAATACACGAGGGTTCGAGGGCCCTGCTCCTTGGAGCTTACAATCTGGGAGGGAGGGGATAGTGGTACAGGAGGAAATAGCTGTGGGGGATGGAGTGGGAGGAGTGGAGGAGATCGGCAATTAGCTGAGGGTGGGGTAGGCTTCCCTGAAGAGATGGGTTTTCAGGGTGCACCTAAAGGTGAGGAGAGTAGGTGATAGTCTGATGGCTTGGGGTAGGGAGTTCCAGAGGATGGGGGAAGCCCTGGAAAAGTCCTGGAGATGGGCATGGGAGGAGGAGACCAGGGATTACACTGTGTTGCACTCCCAGACAGATATGCATATATGCAGCCCCACGGAAAAAAAGTCCAGTTCAGTAGGGCCGCATATATGCGTACTGTCAGCAGGAAGGGGTTAAAAAAAAAAAAAAAAGGTATACCCACTTTTGCATTATTTTTTGTACAGCCCTTGTATATGGGATTGTGTATCCCCCGTCCCCCGTTATAATTCAGATCCAAGTAGGGGCTCCAAGCAAGAGCTCATTCCCACCAATGCGTTGTCATGCATTTCAAGGGCAGGCGGAGTGCCGGGACTGCAGGAAGTCCATTGTACTCAAAGAGTCTTTTCCCACCAGTTTGTTTCATTGCTCTCCGTTGAAAAAAAAAGTCCTGCATGCTACATTCTGTGTGCACTGACCTGTGGATTGCCATTCAGGTCAATTCAACCGTAGTCTTTCAAAGATACAATACATGTCAGTGCTACATGTATTAATACATGCATTCTGATGGAAAGGAGCCCAAACTGTGCGGCCAACTGCCCTCCTTTGTGTATAGGCAGCTTTAGATGATATTTATTCCAACTATATAAAGTTTATTAAAGCTGAGCTCCAGCCTTCAGCCTTGCACAGTTGTACCGGATCCTCTCCTGGACTGAAATGGCTTCCTCTGATTTCACTGCACACTCTGAGCTTCTCACAATGTGCATTAGAAGCAAGTCAGAGCTATGCCTCAGTGCCTGGATGGAGGACATCCAGCACCATCTAGACGTAGACTGGCCCTGGCCCGCCACTTTCATTCATTGGATTTCACTTTTTTCAATCATGGAGGCTTAACATCACATGTGAGCATTACCTAGGGTGGTCTGCATGCAAATACAGCCTGCCTAGGAACACCCACTCTTCCAGACTGACATCCACCCATCAAGGCATCTTCCATAACTTCTCCCAGGAACCTGCCCACTATCTGCATCACAGCTGAGGGCTCCTGAGAGGGTACAGAAACAGGGTATGTGATTTTTTTGGCACAGCACCCTGATGCCCCTCCCATTAGGGCCATGATCTGGCTTTGATGGAGGAACCAGATGATGATGCTTAGTGGGTCTAAAAATAATGTATGTAATGAAAACAAGTTTTATTTAAATTTCTATCAGCATGTTGGGACCCTGATGTAAGGGAAGGCTCTGATGGGGATCCTGATGTAAGGGAAGGCTCTGATGGGGATCCTGATGTAAGGGAAGGCTCTGATGGGGATCCTGATGTAAGGGAAGGCTCTGATGGGGACCCTGATGTAAGGGAAGGCTCTGATGGGGACCCTGATGTAAGGGAAGGCTCTGATGGGGATCCTGATGTAAGGGAACGCTCTGATGGGGATCCTGATGTAAGGGAAGGCTCTGATGGGGACCCTGATGTAAGGGAAGGCTCTGATGGGGACCCTGATGTAAGGGAGGCTCTGATGGGGATCCTGATGTAAGGGAAGGCTCTGATGGGGATCCTGATGTAAGTGGAAGGCTCTGATGGGGACCCTGATGTAAGCGGAAGGCTCTGATGGGGACCTGATGTAACTGGAGGCTCTGATGGGGACCCTGATGTAAGGGAAGGCTCTGATGGGGATCCTGATGTAGGGAAGGCTCTGATAGGGACCCTGATATAAGGAAGGCTCTGATGGGGACCCTGATGTAAGTGAAGGCTCTGATGGGGACCCTGATGCAAGCGGAGGCTCTGATGGGGACCCTGATGCAAGCGGAGGCTCTGATGGGGACCCTGATGCAAGTGGAGGCTCTGATGGGGACCCTGATGTAAGCGGAGGCTCTGATGGGGACCCTGATGCAAGCGGAGGCTCTGATGGGACCCTGATGCAAGCGGAGGCTCTGATGGGGACCCTGATGTAAGCGGAGGCTCTGATGGGGACCCTGATGCAAGCGGAGGCTCTGATGGGGACCCTGATGCAAGAGAGGCTCTGATGGGGACCCTGATGCAAGCTGAGGCTCTGATGGGGACCCTGATGCAAGCGGAGGCTCTGATGGGAACCCTGATGTAAGGGGAGACTTTGATAGGTACCCTAATGTAAGGATAGACTCTGACAGGGACCCTGATGTTAGCTAAGGCTCTGATGGGGACCATGATATAAGCAGAGATTCTGATAGGGACCGTGTTGTAAGTTGAGGTTCTGATGGGGACCCCGATGTAAGCTGAGCCTCTGATGGGGACCCCGATGTAAGCTGAGCCTCTGATGGGGACCCTGATGTAAGCGGAGACTCTGATGGGGACCCTGATGTAAGCTGAGCCTTGATGGGACCCCGATGTAAGCAGAGACTCTGGGGATCCCAATGTAAGCTGAGCCTTTGATGGGGACCCCGATATAAGCGGAGCTCTGATGGGGACCCCGATATAAGCGGAGGCTCTGATGGGGACCCCAATGTAAGCGGAGGCTCTGATGGGGATCCCAGTGTAAGCGGAGGCTCTGATGGGGACCCCGATGTAAGCAGAGGCTCTGATGTAAGGGGTCACTTTTATTTGGAATTTCTTTGCTGTGTTTTACTGAAGTTTGTTTTTTTCTATTGTTCTAAATCTTTCATGCCGATTACAAAAAACTCTTAAGTAAATTTTCTTCAATCGCTTTTAATTTGATTTGTTAATTTATAAAACTGATTCTCACCTGCTAGTATTTTTAAAATATACAATGTGACCTTCGCAGTAAAAAGTTTGATCTCAGTCTAAGGGTTCTAATCCTTCCTGAAATTTGAAAACTAAAATAAAAATGTAAATGTAAATTGAGCTGTAAATGTACTGTGTGTAGTGACTCTCCGATGTTGATATATTGACACTTGGATGTTTATCTCATATGAATTATGGATTGCATTTTTCTCATTTGTCTTAGATTTGTGCTGTTTGCCTAGAGGAATTTAAGCCCAAAGATGAGCTGGGTATATGTCCCTGCAAGCATGCCTTTCACAGAAAGTAAGTACCAATGCTTTAGAAACAGCATCTATCACTAGGAAGAAGATATCCCCTGATCCTCAGATGGTTCTGATTGGTCCATTTTCCCAGATGGTAGCAGGTTCCCCCGTAGACACCTTTTAGGTCCTGTGTGTTGTGGAGGAACTCCGATGTCTTCTAGTTTGGATCTTTCAAGCTGAGAATTAAAGCCCCAGCCTTTTGCTGCATACTCTGCTCTATTCCATGGGTTTCTGATCTCTTGGTGTCCGTTTGAGGGATAACTGTACTTTGGTGAATGTTCCCATGTTAGAAAGGGTTAAAATGTGTTTTTAATACTGGGCTACAGTCACATGGTCACTCCTCCAGACTGACAGCCACCCAATCAAGGCATTTTGATATTTGTATTTGTATAACTCTTGCCCTTGCTACCAGCCATGATTTGCCTGCATTGCCTAGAGAAGTAGAGAGACCCAATGATGATAGGTTGATGGCAAGATGCGAGAGGAAGCGGGCCAGAGCTAGAGACAACATTGACCACAGGTTCACTTTCAAGGTACCACACTGCAGAAACACTAAAATATTTCTGAGCTGTAGGCATTTTTTGAGTTTGATTTAATATAAATGGTTCTTTGCTTACATTGTTCACTGCAAAATGATTCCTTAATGTGTACTAACCAGAGTGGGGGTTGGGGGGGGGGGGGGGGGGGGCGGATCTGGGGTTGGGGGGGGGAGAGGGGCTACATACCTGCAGATGGAGGACCAGTGCAGAATTGTGGTGATGTGTATTGAGGGCAGATATCTCCCTCTAGTGGTCAGATGGCGCTCTGCACCACTACAAATCCTCTGCCCTGACTTACAACAGTGCAAACAGAATACAAAAATTACAATAGGTAAAAAGTCACATTTTGGTTGGCTGGCCCTTTTAACCATTTAAAGTTTACCCAGCTGGTAAGAAGCAAACATCAATACCTTCTTATGGCTGCATATAAAGTAGAACTATAGGCAAACTTTTTTTGTTTTCCATTTTGGATAGCGTGAGGGAGGGTTATAACCCCTGTCAGATTTTTTTTTTTTTTTTTTTTTTGCCATCTGTGTCTTATTACAGAGGTTTCCCTTTGCTTCCCATCCCATAGCCAAACAGGCAGTGAGAGTCGATCCCTGCAAATTAAGGGAATTCCTTCGGGACCCCCACATCACCAGAACGAGTGGCCCTATCGGACGATTTTCCCTCTATTACTTTTCTGGGAACAGCCCAATTATCTGGGACTTTTTTTTTTTTTTTACTTTCTCTTTCAGTAAAAATAAGAAAACAGGACAAATGGAGAGGGTGAATCTCCTTAATAGGGGCACAGACAGCAATAAAAACTGACAGGTTCTGCTGTATTGTCTCCCTTTATATTGTAAAGCACTGAGGAAGTTATTTTATATAAATCCTGTATAATAATAGTAGTCCCTCTGCATTCAGTCCAAAACAAAAAACAACTTTTGCCTTTAGTTATACCTTATTGTGATCACACGATGTTGCTTGCCTCTGCAACTTGCTTCTATTCATAGATTGCCATGTCCTCTGTCAATCCTGAATGGCCCCCATAGCCAACTTGAATTTTGGTCAGTTATTGATAAATAGACTGAAATTCAAGCCATGGGTGTCCTTGCAAGCACCATGGGACTTGACAAAAGTCGATTTCAAAATTGTAGGAGCTGGGTGGAAAATTATCAACGGAACCTTGACTACATCCCATCAGATCCAGGTGCCATTTGGGAGTGCCAGCAGCCACGGCCATTCGAATGCAGTGGAGATTGAAAGGAACAAAGCATATCCTTCTATAGTGTGTACTTGCCTCTATCCAAAAGCACTTCTTTCTCATTCCTCTGCTATCTGCAGGAGTCACTTCTGACAGTCTACATGTGGTCTCTAAACCAATGCCCTTTGCTTGCCTTTATTTTGCCCTTGGGGCACTAAACCAACATTGGGGCATAATTCCTGCTACTGATGTCAACAATGGAGCATCACTTCTCACACTGACACCAATAATAGGGAACCATTTCTCCCCCTGACACCGACGACCAGGTGTCGTTCCTCCCCCTAATACCAAAGATGGGGCACTGTTTACTCCCACTAATGCTAGGACAATTTCTACTCTCATGGTCACAGTCCGGCCCCCCTAAAGTCTGAAGGACAATAAACTGACCCTTTGTTTAGAAAGTTTGAAGACCCCTGGTCTCTACATCTTAGATGGCCACACACCCCCCTCCTGCACACAGATGATTGACGTCCTCAGCTGTGCATGTTTCCCTATGAGACTGTGTAGAGGGGGTGTATCCTTTCCTCCATGTAGGTCTCAGATTACACTCCCTGCTCTGTTGTGCAGAGAATGGCATCAGATGTTGCCTTCTGGAGCTAAGAAAATTCTGGACTTTGAATTTCTGTGTGGAAGAGAGGGCTACAGATAAACAGGTACAACTTCTATAGATGGATTTGTTTAATCTTTGTGCATCACCTGAGGCCAGTCACTTCAGTGGGAGTATTGAAGGGTTTACACCCACTGTAAAATGTCTTAATGGCTGGACTGCATCGCTAACATGAATCTATTTTTTTTCTCTAGGTGCCTCATTAAATGGCTGGAGGTGCGGAAGGTTTGTCCCCTCTGCAACATGCCTGTCCTACAGTTGGCACAACTACACAGCAACCAGGAGCACGGACCTCCGCAAGGACCTCTGCCTGGTGCAGAAAACATTGTATAGTTTACATACTACACCCTATGGGTCACCCAAACCAGAAGCCACAGATCTCATGTCTCCATCCTGCCCTCTAGGGGCAGCTCCCAGAATCCTCACCGGTAGCGGGTGGCGATGCGTGCCGCTCGTGACATGGATATGTGGACTCTACAGTAACCAAAGCACTTTTCAATGCCTGCCTTGGGCGGAAGAGACACAGGCAACAAGGGAAGATGGCAGCAGTGTTTGGCCTTGGACGAGCACTTTACAATACCTAACTGAAACCGTTTTTTTTTTTTTTCTTTCTAATAACTCTGTACTGGAAGCTTCACTGTGCCGGGGCAAGAAAAAAAGCATTGCTGATGGGTTCTAAAGGGAGAAGGCATGGAAGCCAGCTGATCCTGGGAAATAAAATGGTGTCACACTATGCAAAGTGGTTCCCATAACCGCACACATCTGCCAGACTGGTGTCCGGCAATGGCTCTTTCCATCTCATGCCGAATACTGTACCTGGAGTGCTGTCTTCTTTATGTATATGCCACACCTGTGCAATTGGAGGCTGGATTGCGGGCCAAGTTCTCCCATCATGCACGCTGTGAAGGAAGCCTTTATTTTTCTTATCTTATATCTTCTTTTTTTTTTTTATCGTTTGTTATTTTTAATTTTTCTTTTTTATAATCTTTGTTATTTTTTTTTTTTTTTAATTCTTTATTTTATCCTTGTTTTTTTTTTTTAGTACTCTTTTTATGTATCATGCCACAAGCCTGTGCTAATTGGAGGCTGTATCTGCGGGGATGGCCCATTAGTTCTCCCCAATCATGCACGCTGTGAAAGGAAGCCATTTTTGTGCGCCATACAGTCACCTAAACACGATGTGCCCTTGACATGGCAGATCCGGCCATTCCGCGGGATGCCTTTTCACCCCGGCCACCGCGGGGATGCCATGTTGTTAGCTTACATCTCATAGTTACAGGTGGAGGCTACAGAAAGGCTGTTTAGGGAGCACTGTCCTTCAGCATGATGTTGGGGGTTGCCTGATACTTTCAGGATCATGGAAGGAATTTTTATGGGGGGGGGGGGGGTGTAATTGAATTATTTCCCATCCTTGCTTCATCTATCTTGTATCGTCCTCATTGACGCAAGCTAGGTCACGTAGATAGTAATGTCTGGCAGATTTGTAATGTCCTTTTAAATGTTCTAGAACGAAATATGAATTGTTACCACCAACCAATCATGATCAAGGTGTCATTGTGCCAGTGCGGGTTAGGAAATAGAAGTAGGACTCTGATTGGGTGTTACAGGCAACGCATCAGCTTTTAACTTTCTCATGTTTTTGGGAGTATTTTTATTTCTTAAGACTTATAAAGGGGGGGTTGGCATAACAGATGGGACGCGTCTTTCCACTTTTTGTGGGATAAGTTTGTATGTTTACTATCAATCCATTGCATTCTGATTGTATATAGCTGACTTTTTGTTTGAGAACTCTGCACTAAGGCTTAGCACTGTTCAAAACACTCAGATTGTAGGCGTGAGATTAGAATGTGCTGTCCATGGGCATCGGGTCATGGGAAAACTGGATACCTGAGCTCCTCAAATGGGGGGAAAAGAGACCACCAGGACCTCCTTCCGGGCAACTGTGCTTGGGAATTGGACAAATCATGTGACCAGAAACCGCATTTTTTTTCTTTTTTTTTTTTTTTATAATTTAGTAATCTCTGCTGTTCATCTCAGGACCAATCAGAGTGGTCTATGTCTAGTTGGATTTTTTGGTGTCCAGGGACGGGGCTATTTGAAATGACACGTTCTCTAGAATAGTAGAAATCTCTCAGATCTATAGATAGAGAGGAGGACCAGATTAGCCTTGGTGTGTGTGATTGTCAGTGCAGCCACAATTATTTCTACATGACTATGTTGGCCTGACTTCATTTTATATTATTATTATTATTATTTTTTATTATCGTGTATGTAAACCCACTAAATCTCATTATTAGGTTAAAGGCATTTCAAAAGTTTATTTTCAGTATTTAAAAATTTGCAGCTTTCATTCTAATGCCTGGTAATTAGTGGTGCACCAAAATTAAAATTCTGGACTGAAACCGAAAAGTCAGGAAGCACTTGGCCCAAAACGGAAACCTGAAATAGACAGTTTTTAAAAAAATATATATTTTTTATACATAATTGTGTTATATTCGACTTTTTAATATCATGAATTTAAATTAATATGAATTAAAAAAAAAAAAATCCAATAATGTTAAATAACTTTTGTTGAAAGTAATCCTCAAATATTGGGCAGAAAATAAAATTAAATATATATAAAATTATTCAGCCATTATCGGCACCTTTTTTGTAGGGTGACAGTGCTCTTTCTTTGAATCCCAACTGTGCTGTTGCAGTCTACACAGGCATGATGCAGCATTGTCACCATCAGGAAACTCACCCTGGGAAATGCCATGCAGCCATCATTGGAGTGCATGAAGACGGGGAGTGGTTGTGAGTAGACTGCAGAGTTTAACCCCTCGCCCTCCAGAGGATTTACCCCTTTCCTGACCAGGCCATTTTTTGCGATCCGGCGCTGTGTTACTTTAACTGACAATTGCGCAGTCATGCAACGCTGCATCCAAATTAAATGTATGCCCTTTTTTTCCCCCACAAATAGAGCTTTATTTCGGTGGTATTGATTGCCTTTGCATTTTTTATTTATTGCGCTATAAACAAAAAAGTCTGACAATTTTGAGAAAAAAAACCTATATTTTTGACTTTTTGCAGTAAACATGTCCAGTAAAAAAATTTTAAAAATCGAATTTCATCATAAATTTAAGCCAGAATGTATTCTGCTACATGTCTTTGGTAAAAAAAAATCCCAATACGTGTAAATTAATTGGTTTACTTGAAAGTTATAGCGTCTACAAATTGCGGTGTATATATACTGGAATCGTTTTTTTATATACTAGTAATGGTGGTGATCAGCAACTTATAGCGGGACTGCGGCGGGCATTCTGACACTGGGGGGGGGGGGGGGGGGGACTGACTTGGTGTCACTGACATCCCCAGTGACACTAATACAGTGATCAGTGCTAATAAAAAGCACTGACACTGTACTAATGACACTGGGCAGGAAGGAGTTAACATCTAGAGTGATCAAAGGGTTAACTGTGTGCTGTTTTACTGTGTGTTGTGCTTTACTATGAAGTTGGAAGCTGATTGGCTGCCATGCACAGCTGCACCAGATTGTGCAATCTCCAGTTTTAGTAAATCAACCCCATCATGTCATTAGAGTTTACATCTATATTCATTTTTGTAATTTTTAGGAGGACTCATTCCTCCGTGTTTTACAGAGAATATAGAACATCCACATAAATCCCTGCCCTAGATTAGTTGACCAATGACCTTCGCACACATGCCCATACATGTACATGCAATGATCAGTTGTATGCAGAAGCCAGTTAGTTTACCATTCTGTTTTTTGGATTGCAGGGGGACAAGGATTAAAGTGGAATTCCTGCCTAACCATAACTAGTCTTAAAACTGTCCCCTCCCCCCTCCTACTACCTATACTACCTACTTTATGTAAAAAAAAAAAAGATTTGTATACTTACCTTTTTTCAGTCCAGTCACGTAATCTGTGTCAGGGAGTGCTCAACAATGGCAGGAAATTCAGGAGGTGGTGACTTCACTCATAGGCTTCCATAGCCCTGCCTCTCCCTCCTCTCCCCTGCAGCAGGTTGCTCACTGACACAGGAGAGCCGAAGTTGTGGGATCATGTGACCGGACCAGAGCGGGCTGAAAAAAGGCAGCAGAGGACATATTTTAGAATCGTTCTGATTATGCAATAATTCCACTTTAAGTCTACTTATCTGCTGCTTTCTCTTTTTTTCCTCAAAATAGGTGGCCTCTTAAAACAAATTCCGTCATTTTAGAACGTTTTTTGCAGTCATGGCATCTTCAACTCCTGTTTCTGATTTACTTTCTCCAATGCCATTGCCAATTAGTTGTGCCAATAACTGGCTTACTAAGCTTTTCCTGACCTCTTGCAGCTGAATGCCAAGAATCATCTTGGGTAGACATAGCATGCATCTGTAGCTGGGTGTAGAACCCCATTGAAAGGGAAATTCTCATATTTTCTCCAAGTATTCATTTTGAGCCATTGGTGTAAAGTTTACCTGAAAGTAATATTTGATATGAACTTTTTCATTTTGGTCACATGCTTTGCCATAAGATCATGTTTATATAGATACATATGTATAAAAGACGGAGCAGTTAGCATCACTGCTGAATTACTACTTTAGAGTGAACCTGTGCCCAGACTATGGATATTCATACATACATATTCTAAAAAAAGGAGTAAAAGCACTTTAAAACCTGTCCTCATTCACCTCTGTACCAACAAGGTTTGTGAAAAAATCAATTTTAAATTCTCAACAGGGGCACATAGAGCTTATTTCCTTTACTTTCTACACAGAGCAGATCTTGGCAGGCTGTCAACCCTTTAATGTGAACACACAGCAGCCATTCTCAACCAGGGATCCTTGGAACCCTCAGGTGTCTTGAGTTGTGACTGATTGCCCTTCCATTTAAAGATGCCTTCAAAGTGCCATGGCAAACGCTACTTGGCAACACCAGCGGCATGACCCAGTTATCTATTAAGCTGTTCGTAAGGATTGCACTCTCACTACTGACCACCAATGTAAGGTCGGGATTCCTACTAATGATCACCAAAGGGGGGGGGGGGGGCCATGCTTACTACTGACCACCAATGTAAAGGGGGGGGCATTCTTCCAATTGACCACCAATGTAAGGGGGGCATTCTTCAAATTGACCACCAATGTAAGGGGGGCATTCTTCCTACCGACCACCACCAATGTAATGTAGACACTCTTCCCAATGACCACCAATGTAAGGGAGGCATTCTTCCTTATGATCCCCAATTTAAGGGGAGCATTCTTCTTACTGACCGCCACTGGAAAGAGGGCATTCTTCCTACTGACCACCAATGTAATATAGACACTCTTCCCAATGACCACCAATGT